TCGTGATTTCTATGTAGTTAAAGTTGAGTTAGTATTATAATTATTCCATTATGTTATAGGTTTATCGGGCTTTATGAGTCAATCAACAGGGCCCGAACCCGACCCGGACCTGACCCGCAAAATTACGACCCGTTTCGCACCCTATCTGTACCTGTACGTATAATAAATGGCTGTTGTTATACGGCATTATATCCATAATTATTGCTGAATTAATCATTTAACAGTTATTTTTTAACCGTGTCCAGAAGTTTAACCCAGCTAGGCCAGTGATGTTTACTGGAAGTCTGGAATCTCACTGGACGTCCAAATTCTTCCAGAGTTCCAGCAGTTCCAATGGGGAAGAAATTTTCCCGATGGAACCTATATTATCGTCCAATCAAAATGTGTAGATACAATCAATAAAATGTGCGTGATTTCATGTGATTATGCATAACGATCATTAATTTCGGGATTTGAATACGACATGCAGCCATACAGCATTTTTGACTGAAAGAAATTAAAAAAATAATGCTTTTTGATAAAAATTTGACTATAGTAAAACAATCAATATAGCTAACATAGTTTTGATTATTTGGGCTGCCATCAATAGAAATAAGGCAGATTGACATTTTTTAAAAAAATTAAATACCTTAACTTTCACAGTTCATATCTCGATGAACTTTGAGGTTATCTTGATGATTTAATGTTCAAAAGAAAGCTTAGATCGTAAGCTTTCTTTTGAATATTAAATAATTAAGATAGCTTCAAAATCCATCAAGATGTGAGCTGTGTAGGTTAAGGTATTAATTTTTTTAAGAATTTCAATCTGCCTTATTTCCATTGATGGCAGTCCATTTAGTCAATTTAGGGCGTTCTCAAGCACCTACCTCAATGAATTCAATAAAAAATTTGATTGGATAGTTTTATCAAACAGACCAATCAGATTCGTTATTGAGTCCATTGAGGTAGGTGCTTGAGAACGCCCTTAGTCAATTTACCACTCTAGTATGTATATATGTCAAATAGATATGTATATTATTTAAATTAAAATTGCATGTACTTTTTTTTTCATTGGAAATCCATCCAGTTCCATCCAGTTAAGTCCAATGGCCATCCAGTTCCAGTAATTTCCACTGGAACGTTCCAGTGGACAACACTAAGCTAGGCTATATAGAAAATTCATATTAAATAAGTAATAGTGCCCAGGACATAACTGATTTATGCCCTGCGATCTTGATATAGTGACCAGGGTATAAAGACAGTTAACAAATAGTAAGTGGCTATTACAAGCCAATAACCAAAATAGGAAGAAAACGCGATGTGATTTGTGTTAGGTATAAAATGATTTTAAATCGCTCTTTTTTAAAAAACCATACTATTACATAATACGCCCATTTATCATATTTTATAAATCAATTTTAAGCTGTTTTGCTTTTATTTTTTATATTTTATACATACATACTAATAGACTAAGTGGAAAATAAACCAAGCAAAAAATGAGGCATGACTTGTACTCATAATATCATGTAAAATAACGTCCCCTTTGTAGAATGAAATGTATAACAATAATAATAAATATATAAATAATATTCTATTAGTTATTTATGTTTTGTATAAATTATATAAAACAGGTTTAACTACTAAACAGTAAATCAGAAATACCAAAATAATTTGTATCTATAGTACGGGTACTGATTATACAAAATATCATGTAGAAACATGATCAATCAGAAAACATATTTGCATATACTAGTTCACTTTTACACCTTGTTGCACTCTGTTTTTGGTATTGTATATTTAATATTTTTTTTATACAGTATATCTAAATAATAGATCTGTTCTATTTAGAAAAATATGTATACAATATAACGGTAATTTGGCAAATGAGCACGTGCCGCTTTGCGGCACGTGTAGCCAATCATTTGTCGAATTACCGTATTCGACAATTTGCCCAATATTGGTGTTATCCGGCAATTTATGATCATGATTAGGAGTCGCTCGCTGAGTTTTATTTTTTGAATATTGGAATAACATGATTATATCGTAACACATGAAAAAAATAACAAGAAGAAATTTTTTCATGATCATATGAGTTTGCCGGATAACAAAACTGTATTCGATAATTATTTTTATTTTTATTTATTTTATATTGTTATTATTATTATTTGAACGATATAAAAGTGTTAAATTAGGATTTTAAACATATAAAGTTAACTTTTATCTTGCTTGAATCGTATATAATATACATTTAAGTTTTAGAATATGACATCATGTCATTACAGTATTGAAGATAGGAAGTCTTAATTTTGCTTAGTGATACTGTATACAGTCAGACCTCTCTAAGTGCACGCCCTTGGACCACACTTTAATAACGTGCATATAGAGAATAATAAGAAAAAGTGCATTTATGGAGGTTAAGTATACAGTATATTTGGGCCGGCGCTTGAGCGTGCATTTATAGAGGGTGTGCACTTATAGAGGGTGCACTTAAAGAGGTCTAACTGTATATGTTTATATGAGGTAACTAAGTCCTGGAACTTGGATTTGAACCAGACCCAAGTTTTAGAACTGCTTGTAAGTTCATACAATAGCCATAGGGCCTTGACCAAATCTGGACCTTACATCTCTAACAATAACGGAGTGCCAATTAATATATTTTTCAGAAATTAAATATATGGACGTTCAAGTAATTGATAAGTACAACTTTTAAACCATACTACGTATATATATATATATATTTATTTATATTTATATTTGTAATGCCTGCAGGACTGGTTGTACGTACGTCGAAATTAAAGAAACATTTAATCTTTGACAGATTTATCACAACTATCGTCACCACCATAAGGTGTTCGAACCATGCGATAGATAGTTTTACCACCTTGGATTGCTATATTACACATAGTAACCAAAAAAGTCACAACTCCAGCTCCAAATAGAGAGAACCAGAAGAATGGAGAAACAACAATCAAACTAAAACCAATCGAAACGATATTTGATATAATCCAACAAGCAATTACTTTAAAAAAATTTTTGATTAAAACTTGCTATAGAAGATGTTAACTAAAAAGAAAAAAAAACCCCATATATTTACATGTTAAAGCAGAGCCGACACATAAGCAGATACACCAAGCCAAGAAAATGGATAAGGGAACAGCAAAAAAGCAAATAAAAGTCTTTATATAACACCTAATTATATAATATTGCATTGCTTTTTTGCACCATAAAGTGGCATAAGTTTGAAACCTTTGTGGCGTACATTCAAACAACCTTTTGGAAATTTCTTTGGCGCGAGAGATGGAATAACAAAACATTCCTTCGGTTCCGTAGACAATCCCATTGGTTTCTTCATGTAATTTGACGTTGCTTTTACTAATAGAACTAGTTATATGTCCAGATTTGATTTCCATTTCGACGGTTTCAGACGTGGTGATGAAAAATTCAGTTTAAAACGCGGACAAGGAAGTTTTGAAACTAATTATGAAATTTATAAGTACTTTGACTAGTATTGATGACAATAATTTTTTTTCTCAGTCATAGCGTTATTGAAAGGTATTGCATAAATTAATATATTTACTTAACGTTTAATCGTTAATGACATGTGAAATTTTCAGTTTTAATTAAGATGGCTTGTTAAAAATTAAAATTTTTAAGTTTTGAGAAAGTATGATACCTATTTTAGAACTTCTAAACACGTATATTTTATAGAACCCAGTCCCTTTTCGTGACCCACATATTGAGCTACGCTATATATATTAAATGATAAATATAACAGTTTTAAAATCTTATTATTAAATTTAAGTGAAGCCTATCATACGTATCGTTGTGTCAACACACAGCACCAATCGGCAGGGCTGCCATTGGGGCGAATGGTCTATTTGACCTGTTTATCAACAGGTATATGAAGTTAGAGATTAAAACATCGACTTCGTTAGATTTTTCTATTGGAACCATTGGCTCCATTGGGTTCTCCATTAGTTTCATTGGCTTCATTCTCTCCATTGGTAATTCTCTCAATGGAGTATATCCATTGCCAACCCTGCCAATCGGTTATAAGAAAATTTCCAGCAATGAGAAAAAAAACAAATATTTGGAAGCTGGCGTCATTGGCAGAGTTCAAATACATAATTTAATGCATGCTAGTTCAATGCGTGTTAGATTCTGTTTGTGTAATATTCTTGGTTTCTATCGTTTAATCGGCATACAGAATTTATAATATCTGCAAAAGAATCATCAGCTCTTTTTTTCTATCATAAAGTCATACTTTTAAGAGGTAGCTTGTTGGCCAAGTTACATTTTATTTCGTTGATGAAGATTGACTTTTTTAAAAAATACAAATTGAAGTTAAAACAAATTCTCAATGAAAAAAAAAAAAAAAAAAAGACAAGATAATTACACTTGCAAATAATTTCAATCTGTTTGTGCTACTTCAAGTATTCATTTCATTGAAATGTAACGTTTTATCCAAATAGGATAACGAATTCAAATAGACCTTGGAAATTCATGGCGCTCAAAAGTAATGAGACACCTACTCCAATGCATCCAAGTGAAGTTTCTTTGGGAAAAGGGCCTCTAAATCTGAGGATATATTCAACACGTAAGTTTTTTTGTTCTTTTTTTTCTTTGTAACTTATTATTAAATATTATGAATCATGAATGTTATAACGCGTGTAGTCACGAATACATTCGTCGTAATGATATTTTATAACTACCGAGACGGTTGAAAATAACGATTTCTCCATAAGAATTGATGTCTTGAACAAAGAAAGGAATTGTTTATGAAGTCGTGGATTCATATTATCGGCCAGCTATATCAGAAATAACAGGAACGTTGCATCGGGGTATTTGATCACATAGTGCAAGCTATCGCTATATAGTGAAGATCGTAATATCCATTATAATTTTTTATATATCATATGTAAACTGTAACGTTGTTACTTTTTACTTTTTGAATACATGCATTATAAAGCATAAACAGTTTACAGAGTTCAAAAATATAAGATAAATCGGAAAATCTAATAGTAAATCTCATTAATGATCGCTTTGATCAAACCGGTGTGAGATACCCCCAACGTTGCATTAATTATCCATCGATGATAGGCCGCGAGACGACTCCTCGTTGTTTGAAGAATCTTTATTCAAATGCGAGTCAATACTTTCATCATCACCTTGTGTGGGCGATAATGACCCTTCAAATGATTTCTTTGCTGACAGACAACTTTGAAATGGGTTCAATGATCACGAGAACATCAAACGAAATAGAAAGTGTTAAAGATATTGCCATGCATTTAAGTTTGAGAAAAAAGGTCAATGGTTACAAGCGTACGAGATATTTAGGTAACACGCCCAATTAGGTTCAGCTCAAGCACAATTAAAAGCGGGTCTTTTACTTAAATTTGGTATTATAAAAAAATTTTTATATTGGTAAATTAAGGAAATTTTTTTTATTTTGAAAAACCTAGAGATCTTCAAGCTGCTTATAAATACTTTTTTGATGCAGCAAATCAGGGAATCGCAGAAAGACAGTACCTTTACGGTGGTGCTATCATTAATGGATATATAAAGGAAAAAAGCTCAGTGATGGAGTTGATTTCCTTAAAAATGCTGCAGAACAAAAATATGCTGATGCCATGATAAATTACGGCGAGATCTTGAACGAAGGAAAGTTTAGGGTGATACAGGACTATGAACTTGGTGAAAATGGGAAAGGAGGCTAAAACAAATAGATTAAAAGGTAAAAGGGTCTTTAATTCCAACTTTGATTCGCCCAAGCTTTACACAAATTAATCACTGTTTGTACCTTTTTTTTATTTTATTTTATATATATTTTTTTATTTTTATTGTGCACGCGCATATTTTATTTTATAATAATTGTGATACATGATCCCAGGGAAGTGCTTACTAATCTTTCTTGATCAATAAAGGCAAGAGGTAGTGCATAAGATGCTACAAAACTTTCATTTTACAACCACGTATGAATGTACGTATGTATATGTGTATTTACAATACGGAAATATTTTAGTCTGTGCTAGCATGTTTGCAAAATTGTGACCATTAACTGGATATAATTATTTATATCTTTAAAATAAATTTAAAGGTTGTGTGTCCAAGTAATAATCAAATTAGATCAACTTTGGATAGTAAAATCAAACTTTAATCGAGTTACCCGTAGTATGGATCACCAGTGAGACAAAAAGCAATTACGTCATAGTTAGCATTTAAATAACTTATATAGTAGATTATAATCTTGTACTTTCCCTCTTATCTACTTCAAGTCTTTTTATTTTATTTTTTTATTATTTTTTTATTTTTTTATTTTTTTTTGATTTTCAAAAAAAAAAAAAGGATTACAACCTTACATAACCAGCCACACATGAATAATCAAAATGACAATCAGACTATTGAACATGAGCGTGAAGATCGCTTCGTTGGAGAGAGAATCTACTACGATAAAAAGACCGTTTATTTTTTTCCAATTGATAAGACTACAATTGATCGACAAGAGAAAATGCATTATCTTTGTGGATTATTATGGTATGGTCTATTTTCTTAAGATACCTGCCTTCTTTTGCTTATTAACTTTCTTAATTTAGGCAAACCAATTTTTCGGCACCTATTCATGAAAGGCTATTAGAAGGTGCAAAGGTTTTGGATATAGGGTAAGACAATTTTTTATTGGTTTTTTTTTTTTTTTTGTGAAATTCAACTATTTTTACAATAGATGCGGAGCGGGTATCTGGATTCAAGACATGTGCATGTCATACCCTTCATCAACATTTTATGGTGTTGATATAAACTCGCAATTATTCCCAAGCCGTGAACACACACCCAAGAATTCCGAATTAATTACATGTAATGTTTTAAACGGATTGCCTTTTCCATCTGAGTGGTTTGATTTTGTTCATGTAGGTGAAAAAATTTCGCGTCAATCTAATACCTTTATTAAATCTACTAACTCACATATCATCAAAGATACGATTTCTTGTTACGTCATTTACTCAACAACAATGGATAAAAGTAGTCATTCCGGGTAACGTTTTACATTTTTTTTTTCGTATTATCACCTATTTTTTCGACTGACTTTCCGTCTTTAGAACTAATTAGAGTATGCAAGGTGAACGGTTGGATAGAACACATGGAATGGGATGCGAAATTCATTAATGAAAGCCCAAATTTGAAAAAATTAACAGACGCAATAGTAGAATTCACTGCTTCGAAGAATATTAATGCTATGTTTGCGGATAAACTTGAACAACTCTTGATAGATACTCAGGTGTTTTCCAAAGTTTATCACGAGTCGAAGTATTGTCCAGTTGGTAAGTTTTTAGCCACGTGATACTTTACATCAAATTATAGGATTCATTTCAATAAATATAAATTTTTGATTGTAGGCTCTTGGTTTGGCGATTATGGATCATTGGTGGGTAGTAACAAGATTTTATTATTTATTTATCTTTCATTTCTTTGTTAATCAAATAAATTATCTAGGCTGTTAAAATATTTTTGGATTCGGTATTATGTTTAAGAGATCAATTGAGTAAAGTCATGAACATTACAACTGAAGGTATAAATATTCTCTAAACATATTTCATGTGATAATCTCATGATTAATGGTATCCATTTTCTACATATCAAATTTCTTTATCGTTGTTTTTAGAATTTGATAGCTTTTTTAGTGATTTAGTTAAAGAATTTGAAGGCAAACCGCGAACTTATCCATATACCAAAACACACCGAATATACGCACAAAAAAAAAAGTAAAAAAAAAATTTTTTTACTCATACGTACGTAGAATAGAACAATTAATAAAAATTGCGTATGCTTGAGTAATACAAATTTTAAATTTAAATAAAGGAAACCACTCGAGGCGGATTTGTTTAATTATTAATGACTAATTAGGGTAGAAATAGGTCAAATCTGTGGGATTATTACGTACATACCACTCGGAGTGGTAACTTTGATAACTTCAAATGAAAAAAAAACAAGAATCGCTACCTTTGGCTAGTTATAATGCAAAGATCTCGTGTAACTATTTTGTCGTTTAACCTAATCATTTAGAAAGTAATAATACGTCATGGCCCCTTTTGGGGTTAGATTGTTTAAAGTTGATTAGCTAGTTCAACTGTATATTTAAAATTAAACAAGCCAATCGCAATGAGCTTTAATTATTAATTGTTTTGCTTTGTGACTAGAAATTAAGCACATATAAATTTAATCCCACACGTCTGTAAGACTATTACCCGGTTATAAAATCAGATTGGAAACTTTGTTTAATGTTAAGAATTTGTAAATTATGTGCGCAAATACAATTTATATAAAATATTCGGATTAAAAAACGAAAGTGAGATTTAATGTAATTTAAATGATTTTAACTGAGTATAAAAAATTTTATTTCATAAAAAAAAAAAATTTTTTTTTAAATACTGCGCTCAATTAAAAAACTTAGTAATTTTAAAAATACTGCGCTCAACTTAAAAACTTGCAACTTTCTACTATTAATCGGTTTTTATAATATATAGTTAAATATACAGGATGAAATCAAGCGACATTGATATAATATAAATGATGCGATTTGGTTAATCACATAATTTCCGTGTCCCTGGTGAGAAATAAACAAAAAATCCCCGACAATTACATGTTTGTTTTATAAGGTCCGCGTTGCACAAGATGCGTACTCGTTTACTAATTTACCCCCTATTGTCTGATTGGATGATAATCTTCCTATCAAAATTTAAAATATATATTTATTTTTACAACACGTGTTACGTAACCAAAATTTAAGCGAATGTTTATCCAATGAAAAAATTTTTTTCGAATTCTATCAATTCGTGGAATTCCAATAAAAAAATTTTACCAGGTTATGAGATATCTTTGCTCAAAGTTTAGAAAAATCAAATGTCTATCAAAAATAAGAGCTGCGCCAAATTTTTCTAATATTTTGAACGAAGATATCTCGATAACTTCCTGATAAAATTTATGAACTTTTTTTTTATTTGAATTCTACAAATTTTTAAAATTCAAATAAAAAAAATTTCATCGAATTTTATCAGGTGGTCATCAAGATATCTTCGCTCAAAGTTTTAGAAAAATCAAAAATGTCTACCAAAATAAAAGCTGCGCTAAAATTTTGAGCGAAGATATCTCAATAACCACCTAATAAAATTCGACAAAATTTTTTTATTAGAATTCTAATAGTCTGTATAATACAAATTTATTATTTTTTTTATCGAAATGATTGGTTAGTTATCGAAATGTCTTCGCTCTAAGTTTTAGAAAAATCAAAAACGTCTATCAAAATAAAAGCTGCGCCAAATATTTCCAATACTTTAACGTTAAGCGAAAATATCTCGATAACCATTCGTTGAATTTTTTTTATTTGAATTCTGAAAATCTGTGGAATTCAAATAAAAAAATTTCATCGAATTTTATCGAGATATCTTCGCTCAAAGTTTCTAAACTTTGAGCGAAGATATCTCAGTGACCACCTGATAAAAATTTTTTTATTTGAATTTTAAAAATTTGTAGAATTCAGATAAAAAAAAAGTTCATCAAATTTTATCATGAAGTTATCGAGATATCTTCGTTCAAAATATTAGAAAAATTCGGCGCAACTCTTATTTTAATAGTTTTTCTAAACTTTAAGCGAAGATATCTCGATAGCTATATATGATAAAATTTGGGTTTTAAAAATATTTATTTTAAAATGATTTTACAGCACGTGTTAATAGGATCTTTAATTTCGTGTAACAGTAATCACGTGCCAGTGACAAATTTTGTGGTTAACTAAAAATACGAATTTCTTCTTGCTAATCTTAAAATGTCATCTATGTTGCAGGAATTCCGAGCAAAACGTGAAGCTCAAAGAGTCCGAGTTGAAGACAAATATGAAATTTTGGGTTTTATCAGTTCAGGAACTTATGGAAGAGTATACAAAGCACAAGCAAAACAGAAAAATAAAGGGTTTGTATTAGAAAGCTTATTTATTGAACATGTTGCCGAATAAATATGTAAAATCGTTTTCAATATCTACAGTTCAAATGATGAAAAGCCACTCATGTATGCGATAAAAAAATTTAAACCTGATAAAGAAGGCGACGTCACTACTTACACAGGGATATCGCAGTCTGCATGTCGAGAGATATCGGTATTTATCAGAATTTTAAATTGTACTTATCTCTGCTAAAAGATCTATTATTTATTTTACGCGTTAACAAAGTTGTGTCGGGAACTCAGTCATGTAAATATTATCGCTCTGCAAGAAGTGCTTTTAGAAGATAATTCAATACACATGGTGTTCGAATTCGCGGAGCATGATTTTCTGGCAAGATATCCATGATTATTACTATACAATGTTCTTTCATCTAGACGTCTATTGTTTACTTAAATGATTTTACAGCAAATAATTCATCATCATAGTAGTCAGCATAACCAACACGACAGATCATCTGCTATTCCCGAATTCACTATCAAATCATTTTTATGGCAATTACTTAATGGAGTAGCATATCTTCACGCTAATTGGGTTTTACATAGGGATTTAAAGCCGGCAAATATTTTAGTTACCGCCGATGGTGTAGTGAAAATTGGTAAAGTAAGCACATATTATTTAAGCATTTAGCATTTTTACTGATGTATCCGTATTATATAGGTGACTTAGGACTGGCTAGAATTTATCAACTTCCCTTACAGCCTTTGTTCAATGGTGATAAAGTAGTTGTGACAATATGGTACCGAGCGCCTGAACTTTTACTCGGGTCTAAACATTATACAAAAGCGATAGGTTGACCATTTAAAATTTATATATCTATTATTTGTATTTCTAGCATTTCTGCTCATTGAGTTTTACAATTTCAATCAGATATTTGGGCCGTTGGATGCATTTTTGCTGAGTTATTGACTTTAAGACCAATATTCAAAGGAGAAGAAGCAAAAATGGACAATAAAAAGAGCGTTCCATTTCAGAAAAACCAGTTGACAAAGATTTTTGAAGTATTGGGGAAACCGACAAGTAAACTCAATTTCAATATAAATAATTTATGTTTTATTTATTGATTCCCTCCAATAATTTGGAACTTGGAATTTAGAGGATCAATGGTTCGAAATCGAAAAACAACCGGAATATTCTCAGCTAGCTTCTTTTAGAGCGTAAGTTTGGTATTATATCCTTTATATATTCAGAAAGCTCGTAGATTTGCCATTAAAAATTTTTTTTCTATTTATCAGGTATCCAAATAGACTACGGGAGTTTTATCAACTTCATTGTTCATCGAAGTCTGAACAGGGGTATGCTTTATTGGCTCGTATGTTAGAATATGATCCTTTAAAACGAATTACTGCTGAGGAGGCTCTGAAACATCCTTATTTTGAGGAAGATCCCATCCCGTCCATGGAGTGAGTTTATAGTAATATCATAAATGTTATCTATTACTTTTATTAATTTATATTTGTTTTAATTAAATAGTTCTTTCGACGGACAACCATTTCAATATCCATCAAGAAGTGTTAAACATGATGATAATGATATGAAAGCACCACCAGCAGCAGCTAATGCCAGCACAACTACACAAGGCCAGGCAGGAGCATCGCAAGGTGGAGTGGGTGCGGGGCGAAAGCATGCTCACTCTGGAAAAGACGAAGGAAGAAATAATAAGAGGCGAGGCTAGATTAATATCGTATACTATCCATGGATTATGTAATTAGTTAATACTTTGTAATTTATTTTACCTAACTTTTATAACCGTTATATTTAGGACGTTTAATAAGAAAATTGGGCACAAGTAAATCAAGAGGCATATATTTTCTGTGCCAGAGTATATATAGTTAAGTTTGTATAACAATAAAAAAGTTAGTATGGAAATATTATAAGCAATGTTAAAAATATTCACTTTATTCACTTTTCATCTCTGCAAGAATACCATCTCTTTACTAAGTTATTCTTTAAGAGGGACTCCTTTAAAGGGCATTATTATTGTGAAAGTTCCTATTCTTGCATATTCAATTTCATCCGTGCGTATATAAAATTATTTATCTTGTCAAGGTAATATTGTATAAAATTTAATAGTTTAATTATTATATACATGCAATGTTAATTTTTCAATTAAATTTACTGTGCAGATACCGCACAATTTTATAGACTTTTTTTGTACAGCAAATAAAAAAAAAGACTATGAGAAACTGTTTGCAACTGTGTGTACTATCTACAAAATGTCAAAAAAAAAAAAGTGCGCAAATTTTGTTTCTTTGTGCTGCGCACAGTCCGTACAGTGAAAAATAATCACTATACTAGAGTTGCAGGTGAAACTAATTAATTTCACCAAAAAACTGGTGCACTATTGAAGATTAGTTTCATCTATAACCCTGCACAAACGATGCACCATTTAGTGATTTAAGCCATAAGGTTTTAGTCAGCTAGCTAAGCCAGCCGACTAAAATATAATCTAATCGGCTGGCTAACGGCTGACAAATACCATACTTCCGGGAAATTTCGGTAAACTTTTCAAAAATTTAGCTTGTATTCTATGTTCATTCATTTTCCTTTTCGGAATTTACCGGAATCCTACTATATACTAATTTACCAAATA